TGGAGCAGCGTTTGATTCGAACTAGCCCTGCCGTTGACTCTTTTGATGTTGACGCACTTGAAATCCCTGGTGCTCAGAAAAACGAAATCGAGGTTAGTGTTGAATCGAAACTTACCTTATCATTTGGCTTCATGTGTGTGTGTGTTTTGATGTGGTTCTGTTCTTCTTCTTCATGTTGATCTGATTACCAAAATATATCTTTGTTTGAGTTGAGGAACTTGTTTTCTCTGTTTTTGCAGGATGCTAGCTTAGGAAGGAAAATCATACTTGCTTTGCAGACTCTAGGGGTTGTATTTGGTGATATTGGGACTAGTCCATTGTACACATTCAGTGTTATGTTCAACAGATCTCCAATTAACGACAAAGAAGATATCATTGGAGCCTTGTCATTGGTTATATACACTTTAATATTGTTCCCTCTTGTAAAGTATGTACATTTTGTTCTTTGGGCCAATGATGATGGTGAAGGTATTATTTTTTCCCTATCTGGTCTAAATTGAAGTTGTTTAAAATAAAGGAAAAGCCTTTTAATTTTTGGATTTGGACTGCAGGTGGTACTTTTGCTTTGTATTCGTTGATCTGTAGGCACGCAAATGTTAGCCTTATCCCAAATCAGCTTCCGTCAGATGCTCGCATATCAGGATTTGGTTTGAAGGTTCCATCTCCAGAACTTGAAAGATCCTTGATAATAAAAGAAAAACTTGAAGCGTCAATGACCTTGAAAAAGATTCTTCTGATTTTAGTTCTTGCTGGCACTGCTATGGTGATTGCTGATGCCGTTGTTACGCCTGCAATGTCAGGTGCGGTCGGCTACATTGTTTGTTTATATCTTTTATATATATACACACATATCAATTATAGGGAAAAGGTATGCAGCTAACTCTACCCTATTTTTGGACACAGTAATGTCTGCTGTTGGTGGTCTGAAGATTGGAGTTGGTGCTATAGAACAAGGTAACTTGTAACAATAGTTGATGTTCATCAGCCTGATTATGGTCATGGGCATGATCTTGTCTGTCTTTCACTTCCTTGTAAAAGGTGCCCTAATTTTTGTGAATAATTTCTATCCGTGGCTTCATTTGCAGATCAGGTGGTTTTGATATCAGTCAGCTTTCTTGTGATCTTGTTCAGTGTACAGAAGTTTGGAACCAGCAAACTGGGACTTGCTGTGGGTCCTGCTTTACTTCTATGGTTTTGTTGTCTTGCGGGCATTGGGATCTACAACCTTGTTAAATATGACAGCAGCGTTTTTCGAGCGTTCAATCCTGCATATATCTATTTCTTTTTCAAGAGAAATCCTGTAAATGTGTGGTATGCTCTTGGGGGTTGCGTTCTATGTGCAACTGGTAAATTTCATATCCTTTAAAACACTAATATATTGAATGACTTTTTGACTAAAAGTCATTGCTCATTTCTATACATGTGGATCTTGTCTCAGGATCGGAGGCCATGTTTGCAGATCTTAGCTTTTTCTCTGTTCACTCGATCCAGGTAGTTTAAGGAGATAAATACTCATTTCTTGATTCTGTTCTTTGACAGTTGTCTTTCTTGGTCATTTGAACTTTTGATTCAGTGGTATTGTTTATCTGCAGCTTACTTTTACCCTTCTGGTGTTACCTTGCCTCTTGTTGGGTTATTTGGGTCAAGCTGCATACCTTTCTGAAAATTTCAGCGGCGCTGGGGATGCTTTCTTTTCGTCAGTTCCAAGTAAGATCCACTAGCTTCCACAGTACGTCAAGATCAACAAGGGTATTCCTTCATTTGCTGGCTTGAGTTTACCACTCACATCACGTTTCTAACTGTTTATTAATCTTTGTTTTTTCAGGTTCTGTATTCTGGCCAGTCTTTCTCATTTCTAATATTGCTGCTCTAATTGCCAGTCGTGCAATGACAACAGCCACATTTACATGCATCAAACAATCAATAGCACTAGGCTGTTTCCCACGTCTTAAAGTCATTCACACCTCAAAGAAATTCATTGGGCAGATTTATATACCGGTTCTAAATTGGTTCCTTTTGGTTGTGTGCCTGATCGTTGTCTGCTCTATCTCAAACATCTTCATGATTGGGAATGCATATGGTAATATTTCCTTCTCGTAGCATCTGGTTTGGGAAAAATTGAAAAATTGGCTGAAACTGATATCAGTTACTTTTTAGTTTGTATTACGAGACAAGGTACTGAAACTCTTCTGGTACATGATGGTTAATGTTTGTCTGATACGGAGATGATGTGATTATCGACACTTTTCTTTACTTTTTAACTTTTCGATTAAGCTTTTTTGTGTGTGTCTTTTTGGATTTTTTATTTTCAGGCATTGCAGAACTGGGAGTTATGATGACTACAACAATTTTGGTGACCCTTATCATGCTTCTTATCTGGCAGACGAACATCATAGTCATCAGCTTGTTTGCAATTGTTTCCTTGGGAGCCGAACTGATTTTCTTCTCCTCAGTTTTATCAAGCGTTGCTGACGGAAGTTGGATAATCCTGGTTTTTGCTACAATCATGTTTTTCATTATGTTCGTTTGGAACTACGGTAGTAAACTGAAGTATGAAACCGAAGTCCAGAAAAAACTACCAATGGACCTATTGCGAGAACTGGGCAGTAATCTTGGGACAATTAGAGCACCTGGTATTGGTCTGCTTTATAACGAACTAGCAAAAGGAGTTCCGGCAATATTTGGTCATTTTCTAACCACCCTTCCTGCAATCCATTCCATGGTTATCTTTGTGTGTATAAAGTATGTCCCTGTTCCAAGCGTACCACAGTCTGAGAGGTTTCTTTTCAGACGTGTCTGCCCAAGAAGCTATCATTTATTCCGCTGTGTTGCCAGGTAAACAAAGCAACCATTTTTAATACGGAATAAAAATTTAGTTTATAATAAATACGGTCTAATAAGTTGCTCTCTTTTTCCCGTGTTTAAAATAGGTATGGATACAAAGATGTGCGGAAGGAAAATCACCAGGCGTTTGAGCAAATACTTATTGAGAGTCTAGAGAAATTTATTCGTAAGGAAGCGCAGGAGCGTCAACTTGAGAGTGACGGAGACCATAATACGGATTCGGAAGATGACACGACTCTGTCCAGAGTTTTGATAGCACCAAATGGTAGTGTGTATTCACTTGGAGTGCCTCTCTTGGCTGAGCATATGGAGTCAGACAAGCGACCCTCAGAGAAAAGAAGGACCAGCATGGATTTTTGCGCAGGTCCGTCAAATGAAACAGCAGCTTTGGATGTGGAGCAGAGTCTAGAAAAAGAATTGTCGTTTATACATAAAGCGAAAGAGTCAGGGGTAGTGTATCTACTGGGACATGGAGATATAAGGGCTACTAAGGATTCTTGGTTTCTGAAGAAGCTGGTAATAAATTACATGTATGCTTTCTTGAGGAAGAACTCCAGGAGAGGGATAGCAAACCTAAGTGTTCCTCATTCGCATTTGATGCAAGTTGGAATGACTTATATGGTATGAACCAGTTTTTGTGCAGACCTGCAAGCACACCGATCAAACAACTTGTTTTCATCTACGAGCAAATCTCATGGAATATCTTCATGGTATCATTGAAGAACACGAAACACATACCAATTCAGGAGAGAGATGTTTTCTTTTACACGTTGTTTCATAAGTGTGAGTGGTTATAAAAAGTATAGGAGAAACAAGATGATTATTTTTGTTGAGAGGTTGATATATGATTCTGTGTTTGCTCTTTTATTGATTGATTTGTTCTGGCTCGTTCCAGAGTGAGTATTATATTGCACTTAAAGAATGATAGACTTGCTGTGGTTTTACTTTGCGACGGGCTCTTCAATTTCTCATCTGGATACTGCATTTGAATGCCTGCATCTGGATGTTGTTCTTCTTGCTTATTTACACAAAATCATCAAATTCCAGTCTCTCTAAGGCACTGACTTAAAGACCGGAGCCAATGTAGAGTTTTGAATTTGTTATTGTGTCAGAGTTACAAGCTCAAAGCAAATTGTTTGAAAAGTTAAGATTACATGATTCTCCAAATTATCATTACCCTCTCAATAATATGAACCGATACTGTCACTGAGAATTTGATACAAATACTTAAAACGAAGAAAAGTAAAAGAACGAAAAAAGAGATCTATCTCTGCAAAAATCGTGATACTGTGTGCCTCAATATAGCGGAAATGCCTGGTTTAAGAGCTTTCCTTCCATCTTGTATTCTCATGTGGTTGCTTTGTTCCCTCTTTTGGTTCCCATTTGACATTTTTGTCTTTTCGGTTCGAGGAGAATCTGTATCTCAGAAGTAAAGAATTAGTCATGACACCGAGAGAGCTCACACCCATGAGAGCCCCCGCCATTGAT